GTTTGAAGACCACGTATGAACTCGGCTGAGCCGAGCCGCTTTTTATGCGTTTTTGCTGCGCAGCGCTAGAGCGCTGCAACAGGCAAAAAAATGCGTATTGACCCTGTCAGTGCGTGTGTGTGTGTGTATGTGCGTGTGTGCGTGTGTGTGCGTTTGTGTGTGCGTGTGTGTGTGCGTGTGTGTGTGTTCGGTTATTTCAACTTACCAACCACGCAAACTTTAAAGCTGAGATTTTACCGGTGTGTTTCCCAGCAAAGTGCCACCTCAGGACCGCGGTATCAACCTTCACGCACGTCTGGGCCCCACGTGAAAGTTTTGGCGGAAAAATTGCTAACTCGGGAAAGAAAAAAGCTAGAAAGCTGGAATTTTAAGAGAATGTTCCAACTGCCCATAAATGACTGAAAGATTTCAAATCCAGCTGCCTAGGACTGCCAGGGGCCCACGTACGGGACACTTGGGAAGTTTTGGCAGGAAAATCACTAACTTGGAAACCAGAAAGCCCAGAAGGCAGAAACTTTAGGGGAATGTTCCTTACTTATGTACGACCAACATCAGTTGTTTAGGAGGGCCCGGGATCCACGTACGGGACACGTGGAAGTTTTGGCGGGAAAATTGCTATCTCGGGAACGAGAAAAGCTAAAAAGCTGAAACTTTAAGGGAATGTCCCCTCCTCATGTACAACCAAAATCAGGTGTTTAGAAGCGCCTAGGGTCTACGTAGGAGCACATGGAAGTTTTGGCGGGAAAGTCACTAATCCGGGAACGAGAAAATCTAGAAAGCTGAAACTTTAGAGGACTGCTCTTCATTCATGTATGACCAGAAGATTTCAAATTCAGCTCCTTAGAACAGTCCAATACGCACGTACAGACACGTGAAAAGTTTGATGGGAAAACTGCTAACTCAGGAACGAGAAAAGCTGGAAGGCGTTAATTTTAAGAGAATGTTCCCTACTCATGTGCGACTGAAAGATTTCAAATTTAACTCTTCTATTGCAGCCTTTTTCGCGGACCAGCAACTTTCCATTTGTCGGGTCACTGAAGTCGAAATCTATAAACGCCAAATATCTGCACAATTAACTTCCCGAACTTCGAGGGCCAGTATGTTACAGGGCTAGCTACTGCGATTCCTTGCGATCTTGCTACGGCACGAAAAATGCAAAAACGCATGTTCGCACCGGCCCGCCTGATGAGTTCCAGCCTGGGTTAGTAGCTACCAGCTGTGAACGATTTTTCCAGGTGTTCTTACCCTCCTGCGGCAAAGAACGCTGAATCCCGCAGATGGGGTGGTGATTGATCCTGAGCACGGAGATTAGGAGTAGGGGGAGGGATTTGGGTGGAGTGAGCGTGGTTATGTGGCATAGATTCTCTGGCGGTTGCCTAGCTCACGTAGGGGAGAGGAGCGAGGGAGTGATGGGTAGAAAGGAGAAGGAAGTGCGCTCTTCGTTTTTGCCGCGAGACGGAAGTTGCTTTACAGGGGGATTTCGGGACCGAGTAAAGGAAGGGAACGAGCAGAGAAGTCAGGTGCTCGGAGCAGAAACTGCTGACAGCAGTAAAAAGAAAGAGAAAGCAAAGCATTACAAAATCCAGGCTGGAACGCACCAGGCGAGCTGGTGCGATCATGCGTTTTTGCATCAAACTTTGAAGTACTGTCTCTCGTGGAGGGGAAGTAGGGAAGAAGGAGGGGAGTTTCATATTATGCCACCATTCAGCTGAGAACGGGGTTTGATCATTTGTGCTAATCGACGAATTAACGGCCCATCGCTACCCTGCACATTGACCAAGACAACTTCAACTTCCAAGCTTCAACTTGTATCGAAATGGGATGTATCGACGCTGAAAGCAATGGGATGTACCGACGCTGAAAGCCTCCCCCCCCCTCGCCCTCTTCCACCCCCGCTCTGGACGTGCATCATTTCGAAGCGGTGATATTGGGCTGCAATATACAGTACAATTGCAAAGCGGTGCTCTGTAATCACGGTACAATGTGGTATACTGTGGTACACAACCCCCAAGGGAGCGGTCTGACCTTGTTCACTTTTGTGTCTGTTTGATTCGTGGGTGGCTGCGGTTCTCCGGTGCAGGGAGGGGGGGGG